TGCAGCAGTGCTGGCCTTGGGTTAAGTTAGTTGATGGATGAGGAATGAGAGGAAAAGCACTGGTGTGCAGATCGGACACGTTTTATGACACATCCCTCAGCACTCCATGGCCCTTCTCTATTATCACAACTCCGAAATCTGAAGTGACATATGTACGCTTCCTTATTATACCCCTCCTGCCTCGAAATCCTGAATTATTTACCATCCCTTTATCAGACATGTCTGAATCCACCTTATTTTTGAGCTTTGATAATTTAGGACCACTAATTTTCTGGGTGATGTACCTTTAAGCATTCCCAGAGATGCATCTTTATGTCTGTTAACACCCAAAGTGGAACTGCTGGGTTATATGGATTTAACTTTACAGGCCACCCCAGCCGTTTGCCCAAGTGGTTCCTGTACACTGGAGTGAGGACATTTGGGGGCTACAAAGTCCTGCTTTTTCATCAAACCCTCAATCTCATGTCCTCAATGCAAAAGAGCAAGATGTTCCGAGTGTCTGTCACCTACCAGGTGCTGTGAATACAGAATCGTGAAAATCCAGCCCTAGGATGATCCTGGCATTTTGAAAAGTGAACTCACTTCCACTTCACACCATTGGTCACCCCTTCCCCAAAAGCTACCTCATTTTTCAAATACAGGTTTGAAATCTGGTTTCATTCACTCTGTGATAACTAACCTAAGTTTCCCCCCGTCAGTCAGTATTGTTGAACTAAACCCAGGGATGCAATAGTTAATACTCCCAGCACAGTTCCAGTAATTTTATAGCCAGGCTCATACTTGGAAATTTCAAGGGGCTTTCTAAATCTGAGGTCTGGCTCAGCTCCTCTGCCCCTGCCCAACAGTGACTCTTGCATCTAGAGGACAAACCCTGTAATCATGAAGTCAGGTGGGTAAATCAGACCGAGGTACCTGCTCTGCACCTTTCTCCTCTCGCCTCTGCATGCAGCTCCCACTTCTGCACCCAGCTAGTCGCGGCAGACAACACAGCCGGCCAGCATTCCTCTTACTGAGCACATCTCCAGAACTCTCAGAAAGAACAGCAGCAGCGAAGAGCTCAGCTTTTTATTGGATGCGTTCCTACAGAGGTCTAGTCAAAAAGACCAAAGCCCATGTCGTCATCAGACTCCTCGGACTCTTCCTTCTTCGCTTCCACTT